AGTTGTGCACACACGACCTCTTACTGCCCTCCTCGTGTTTGGACAGAAAGTGAGACTGCTGTCAGCACCATTTAACGGCCAAAGACCGACCTCCTCATCTTTTCGAGTTGATCAGGCCTGCCTCAAAGCAAACCTTGCCAATTAAAGCGGCGGCGCTCAGTTGGATGGATGACTTTTAAGAGGTGCTCTGGGATTCCTGTGGGCGGAATTGAGGATATATGGAGCGGCGACAACAATTATTTTGAAAAGACCATTTGAGCCGTCTTCCGTGGTCCACATGACAGCGGCCGCTCTGGGTCGTAACGTATGTGCAGAAAGAATAGATATGGATATATAGTTCACGCATCAAGCTCTCCGAGCACTCTGGTTGGGAATAACTGACGTATACTGTAAAAATGTGTGGACTGAGTAGCACTGCCTTGTGGATTGCCACTCGTTTTCTACTGTAGCGGAAAGTAATTGTGACATTTCCGCAGAGTATAATGCAAAATCTGGTGGACATGGTATACAGCCTTGTGGAACACCACCACTTGTCTACTGTAGCAGCAAATGCTATTGACATTTGTAGATCATAAATGTTTTTTTTTCTTCCTTTTTTTTTTTATATGAGCCTTGTAAGATTGAGTTTGCTGCCTGATTTGCAGTAGAGACCTAAAATATATTAAATTTATTCACACAGAGTTTCTGGGAATATTATTGAATGCTGATTGGCCATCTTGGTTGTTTCATGTATTTATTTATTGATTGATTTATTCATTTTAATTCCGCTAGTTCCTCAAAGTCAGGATTTATTTGTTTTAAATTATGGCTTCATTAAAAATAACTCTGGCTGCAATTTGCGATAGAGTCAAACAAGCACATTAAATTGCCTTTTTGGTTCTGGTACAAACTGTTCTGTTTACCCCCACTGAGCTCAAAACCAGCAGCTTTAATTAAGGATGGAAAGTAGAAATATAAAAATAAATACACTCTCTCTCCATGAGCTTCCTTCTGAACAAACTTTTGCTGATTGAAATCTTTCAACATTGAATACACTTTGGTTAAGTAACATCCTTGATGAAGGACAACTCCTTTTTCAAAGAGGATTTCAAGAGACACATTGAAACTGGGTAGGAACTGCGTGTGTATACGTAATCCATTGGCCACATAGCTGAATATTTAGCATACACGACAATATCGGTTTCAAACTTGTCACTGCTTTGCCAATGGTATTTGTAAAAAAAATTAATAAAATACAGATAAAATCCACTTGTGACAAGAAAATATAAAATTGACCAAACGTGGACAGAAGAGGTTTTCTGCGCAACAGTATATTTTTATGATGTTAAGTGGCATTACTTGAAGCTGTGTCGATATTTTGGATGTTTGTCGTTTTAGATCCTCTCTTGTGGCTAAATAAGAAGTCGATTTTCTGAAATCGTGATATTGTCCACTTGTACCAGCGCAATGTCCCTGGCATCAGTGTTGTTGTTGTTGCGGGGACGAATTCTTCAATTGAATCTCAGTGCAGGTGTACCTAATAAAGTGTCTGCTGAGTGTGTATTTTGCGACCATTTGCAGAAGGTCCCGAGCGAGTCACGGTTTCCCTTTTCTCTCTCTCGGGAGAATTGCACACCATTGCGACAGAAAAGATTGAATTTTAAATCATCCGCTTTTTAATTACACTTTTTTTTTCCTTAACTGACTCAATTCATTAATTGCTCCATAATTCATCAATGTCATGGAGCTAATGAATTGCTCATGATCCCCTGCTGATGTGTTCTTTTTTTTCCCCCCTCTTGCATGCATGGAAAAAAGGGCCACAAATAATGAGTGATAATCTTATTATCACGTGAATGTGTTTGGGTGTCGTCTGCCTTTTTTTTTTTTTTTTTTTTTTTTTAATACCTGAATATTCACACCCCTCCTTCTTCTGAGTCTTCCTTCCCCCCCTCCCCTTTCCCCTTGGTTTTCCGTAATGAGGCAGTTGAGCCCGCGGGCTTCCGAGCAAGAAGAGGAGGAGGATGTTTTCAACTTCCCTCGTGTGACTAAAGAGCTGATTTCTCATTAAAGGCAAACTTTATTTATTTATTTATTGCTTTTTATGTGTGTGTGTGTGTGTGTGTGTGTGTGTGTGTGTGCGTGTGCGTGTGTGTGTGTGTGTGTGTGTGTGTGTGTGCAAGCACGAGCGGGTGCGCCCGATTTAAGAGAAGTAAGGGGGGGTTGAAAATCATTTGTGACATCTTTCCTATTGTATCACACAGACACAATTTCAAATGTGCCTAAAAATGGTGTAGCAGCTCAACCCCCACATATATTCCACGTAGCAGCAATCAAGTTGGTAGGCTTGTTCATCATGAGTACAGTAGACCTACAAAAAAAAAGTCTTGCCCGAAAAGGCAGAGGAAATTGGCCTTTTTGGTGGCTAAGTTTGACTTTCACATAGCAAGATAAAATTTGGTGGGCATGTCTATGATGAGTGGACCAACAAAAAGTCCCAAGAAATTAAAGTTCATTTTGGCCATCCGAGGAACCTTGAAAGACAAAGTCATCCTCGAGAGTTTGTCAGGTATCTGACAAATTTGAAGTCAGTGCATTAAACGGATGGGCGACACTTGGATTGTGAGGCATTTGAGTTTGGGCCAAAGCATGTCGGCAAAGTGCAATGCTCCAAATTTGAAGTCAGTGCATTAAACGGATGGGCGACACTTGGATTGTGAGGCATTTGAGTTTGGGCCAAAGCATGTCGGCAAAGTGCAATGCTCCAAATATCAAAAAAAAAAAAAAAAAAAATCAGGCTATGATGTTTTTCAAATTCAGCACCCCAACTTCAAGTGATGTTGGCATCTCTATCATAAATAGATCCAGCCACATTTAAGCCTGAAAACACACAGAAAATTTGTCATTTTGATTTGAAGCGACTATTCTAGATTTGGAAACCATTTTCTGAGAGTCCTTCAAAGGTGAACTTATTCCCTAGACTTTGTCTGCTGGCTACCTAAATTCAATTTAGCCTTCCAAACAGATGGGCGATGCTAAATAATGAAGAATCTGAGTGTTGGCCATAGCGTGTGGGCGTTGTGGCGTACGGGTGACTCGCCATAAAACATGGAAGTGGAATAATCAACTCCCAAGTTGTCCTGTGTTGGAAGCTGATGAGAGTCATTGGCGCCCTCTGGTGGCATCAAGTGGCACAGCATCAATTCAGTCCTATGTTGCTTCAGATCAGAAGTGCGATCGCAGGTAAACACGAGCACCCCGAGTGCCCTTTTGAATATGAATTTGAAGTCAATTCAATTCGCCGTGCGTTTAGGTTGATGTATTCATGCAAGAAGTGCCAGGAAAAAAAAAAAGGTCGGATAGGGTCACATTGAACCTCATTCATAAGTAATGCAGAGTGTGACTAAAAGGAGACGATGTGGCAAAAACGAGCAGAGTCACACACTTCTTTGTGTGGCATCCTGTTACGTTTCTTGACTTTATCAGTCCGTTTTGAGTCATTTCTTTTTTATAGTCTTCAAACTTATTTTCTTAATGTCAATTTTGTTGTACAATTTGTTTTTTTTTTCATCGTCAGCTTCAAACAAGAACCCACACTTTTTCACATCCCGTCCATCTGTTTTCCTGCCTGTCCTTCATGACTTTTGAAACTAATTGCCAACTAATCAATTCGTTTTGAGCCGTTGCTTAAATTAAATTTGTCCAAATCCTCCGATTTCAGCCTCTCTGCAGTAATTCCGTTCGGATTTCTGTCGTGCTTCATGAAAGCTGACGGCTTTTGCAAGCATCCACTTTTACTTGGGAAAATTTGAATACAAAATAAAATGTGATCCAGTGATGTGATATTTATTTGATGGAATCATCGAATGATGAATAATCGCTTGTGGCTTGTCTAGACTGATTGCGGACCAATCTCTGGAATGGATCTCGCATTTCTGATTGGTGCCCTGCGATTGGCTGGCAACCAATTCAGGGTGTCCCCCGCCGACTGCCCGGAGACGGCTGGGATAGGCTCCAGCTCCCCCCGCGACCCTAGTGAGGATCAAGCGGTTCGGAAAATGAATGAATGAATGAATTTCTGATTGGCTGCTAGAGCTGTGACTTTGCAATGGTGTTCACCTGCGAGCCAGCGGCCCAAACGTGCTTATTTTTGTAATGTGAGAGGAAAGCTTGGGTGCCCTGGGAAAACTCAGGACACGCAAGATTCAACTAAGCAAGGTTGCATTTGAGCCGCCGGACTTCAGAAATGTGAGGCAGACATGCTCACCATAGCTTAAAGTTATTTTGTTAGTTTAATTGTTTTGTTTTTTAACATGATCCGTCCATTCATTTGAAAAAAAAAATTGTTCTTGTTTTCATAAGCGTGGCAGCTGACCTGCAGCCTGTCACAGCTGACTTGGGAGGTGGCGGTGGGGAGCCGGCGTGCATAATCGACAAATGACCTTTCACGCTCACGATCATACCTACAAACAAAATGTAGCAGGAAACCAGCGAAAAACACCAGAACATTCAAAGTCCTTACCGAAATGTGCCCAGATTCGAAACTGGGATCCTTTTGACTGCGTGACAGACGTACTTGCCATCTCCAGTTCACCCAATAGGCATGTTTTTTTTTTTTTTAATGCGGCATGAAGTCGTAGTACCCGCAGAAAAATCATGCAAGCATGAAAAGTCAAAACCCAGAAACTCTCCGCTGTGAGGCAAACGTACTAGCCACTAACCCACCGTGTTAGCTGTTTCAGATCATTTGTTTATTGCGACGTGGTGTTAGGAACTAATTTCAGGATAGAATCGATATTTGGATGTGGTCAAGGTGCAAATATGTCTACTTGTGTGCAGTGATTTTTGCAAACAGACAGTTCTTGAAGTCTTTGGCATGTATTCTGCCCTCGTGGTGATTGTGATTGATCCACACAGAACTTTTTAGTCAATTTCAAGCAGGCGCGTCTTTGTGTGCATCATTAGGACCCCATTAAATTCCCCCCCCCCACCCCCCACGAGTGTGACTTTGTCTTCCTTACCAAACAAGCGGTTCCGTTGAGGAGCAGCAGGATGAAACCGCGCATTGTTCCGCCACGCTTGAAAAGCCACAACTCTTCCCTCCTAATTATTTTTTGACAAATCAATCAAATTTAAAAAAAAAAAAGAAAATCAACTCCCGCTTCCTCCTCCTGCCCGTCGACTCGTTCTTCTTCACGAGCCTTCGACGCGGGTTCCGTCCCGGCCGGCGCGCCGTCCCGTCATGTCCGGTTTTCGTTGGGACTCGCTCTCGCAGCCTTTCTTTTAGTCTTTCTGGCTGTCAAAAGTCCAGTTACCTGTGACTGAGGAATTCCGTGCCGTTATCATCCATGGCAAGAGATTCCGGAGTCGTGTGCATCCCTGGGAAGGCTGCGAATGACGATGGGTTGACACGCAGCCTCCGACTCCGACTGAGCCGTGTGCTGAGCTTGAGAGGAGCCGACACTCGTTTTAACACCTCTCTCTCTCTCTCTCTCTCCCTCCCACTTCCTCTGTCTCACTTTCTCGCTGCTTTCCCGCCACTCTGGTCCTAAGACCGCCGCTTTTTTTTCCCCTTCTGTCTCTCTCCCATGATCTGTTTTTGTCTGTCTCAGTCTCGGTCACCCACGTTCTCACGTTCATTAGGAATGTAACACACTCCTCCCCGTGTTGTCAAACGTGCCCGACACCTGCGACACCCGAGACGATGGAGGCATTTGGGCAGAAATATTGGGACACGAACAGGAAATGGGAAGAAGTGTGGACAAAAGTGTTGAAAGTAAAGGGAGGAAAAAGTTTTTGGTCCCCTCTAAAAGTATCGGAACATCAAGTTCAATTATTTAGTTTTTGTTGAATATCGGAGGCATTTGGGTTTTCAGATCAATCGATGAATGTGAGAAAAAGATTCAGAATTCCAGTTTTTATTTCACGGAGTTTACATCGAGAGGTGGTAAACGAGTCAGGACAGAGCAACTTTTGTTTGAAGCCCCCCCCCCCCACACACACACACACACACACACACTTTGATGGCTCAGGTGTTGACTTTCAAATTGATTGCTTAAACATTAGATGGTGCTTGTTTTTTTTTGGTTTTTTTTTTGGCTTTGGGTTTCACCTGTGAAAACTGCATTTGCTCTGAAGCAAATCATTTTGAAGATGAGAGAAGAGGGAAAATCATTCATACACTGTTCAGTGCCAATACAAAAATTTGGAATGTCCAGGAAAAGAAAGAAAGAAACGACCGGTGTACTGAGCAAAAGACATCGAACAAGTCAGTCAATTCTTACTCACTGCTGCAACCTAGTGGCAGTTTATAGTAATGTCTTCTAGTCAGAAAACGTGACTACTCTGACTGACACATTGGCGTTGCCATCAAGTTAAAGGAAATACATCCAATGTCGTAACATTTGGTGATGTTTGAAGAGAAACTTGTGAGCGCTTTTGGTTGTTCGTCTCTGTGCGCCCTGCGATTGGCTGGCAACCCGTTCAGGGTGCCCCCCGCCTACTGCCCGAAGACGGCTGGGATAGGCTCCAGCATCCCCTCCGCGACCCTTGTGAGTATAAGCCGGATCGCAAAATGGATGAAGAGAAAGTACGGTCTAAAAACTTGACTGGAAAAACAAACGCGTTAATAATCGTGCGGAGAAAATGTGCACTACATGCTGTGGCGTATTCGCCACGTATCACTTCTTGTACCTTGAAAACTGTACCGTTGTAGTCACTTTAATTTCAACTGAAATGAAGATCTTTGACATATGGTGGAATACTGCACGTGTCGGGTTCTTTCCGGAGATGGTAAGCTCTCCCAGAGAGGGTCGTATTTCCTCCCAACAGGTCTGTGATGGAGAAAGACGGCAACCTAATGGCGCGGTTCATTAACGGCAGGTTAGCCGGTGTCTGCGGCTCAATTCCGCCTTAATTACAACCGCGGACTGTCTTTTGTTTTGTCTTGTACTGCCCGAGAGGAAGGGTGTCGGGGAGGTGTGTTGTCCCCCCCCCCCCCCCCCCTTCAGAATAACCTTTTCGCACCCGACCAAACGCAGCAGCGCAGGGTTAACTGAGGCTAGGACACGGGTTAATTGGCTCAGCCTAGCAAACACCGAGAGACGCCACCTCGGGAGATCGAAGGCGAGAGGGGGGCCGTTTGTGAGCTGCGGCCAAAACGGAAGTCTGTGCCATTCAGGGTGTCTACAAACCCCCCAAAATATTGTCAATTTACCCCAGAACTGGAGGAATTCTGACTTGAGATACGAGTGCAATTGGTTTGGGAACGCTTCGTTCCAGGAACTGTGAGTACCAACTAGGAATCGATCCTCGAACTTTGTTGTCGGTTGTCTAAATTGAGTTCAGGGCTGCATTTGTGAATCCATCTTGTTGGTATATTTTAGGTGGACAGAACTGGAATGCCTAGAACAAAAAGTTCCTGGAGCTGGACAATTTGGGGAGATCCAGGAATCGTATGTTTTTTTTTTTAACACAACTGGTTGGAACCGTTTTAGTTCAAGGAATGACTTGTAACAAGAGAGGACCCTGCAAAATAGTCTGGCAGGAAATTAAATTCCAAGAACAATCACGATCTGGTATAACTTTTGCTGGAAAAACAATTTAGGGGATTGATCGTAACAGTGGCAGAGCCGGAGCTAAAACTGGCTTGACAACAAGTCGGGCGAACGCGCAACCCTGAGGCACGCTTGGGCTCGGTACTGGGATGTCGCAGGTCCGTCGGGTCAACTCTCTCATGCTGGACCCAGGTCAGCGCACAGAATCCAGGAGCACAGCCGTGGGGGATCTAAATGTGCTTAATTTCCAGTCGTCATCATGACCCAGGAAATCTTGGCGGTCGGTCCCTGATGGCTTGCTTCGCCCTAATTCCAGAATGTCTTGTCGCGGTGCCATCCAGGAGTGCCGTCATGCAAAAGTACAACTTTTAGTTCTCAACCTGCCATTTATTATCACATCAATCAATCAACTGATCAATCCATCACTCAAAGACAATGAACCACTGGGTTAGGTTGGACAAACTTGGCGAAAAGTAAAAGCGGAAGTATTGTGCTGTCATATTGAACCCCTTTATAGTTTAGTGCAAGCGAAGTCTCACATTTGACGTAAGCGGCTTGAAAATTGTCTCCCTGATATCCAGTCATTACGACGCGGGCGCGAGATGCCAATCATCTCCATTTTCCCCTTCTTTGTCTCCCTGGGGGGATCCTTCCGGAGGCTAAACGTGTGTGGGAATAATTCCAAGCCGGGGAATGGGGGAGCTATTTGAGAGAGGAAAACATTGAGCCCCATAAAGGGAGATGGAGCTCCCCGGCCCGCGATTGTCGGCGAAAGCGAGCCTAATAAAAGGCATCCTAAAATGCCTCAGAGGTTCACGCCACCCATTTTCACTTTGGCACATAATTGCCGGGCCTTAACTCACTTTACGCAGCCTCCCGGGAACGAACCTTGGCTTTCCACTCACTCGCAAGAAAATCATTTGGCGAAGCTGCAGGCCAGGCAAGATGTGGCGGACGGGGAGCGAGCGCCACAGTCTTATTGGTGAGCGTAGGCTGCCATCTGGTGAGATTTTTGAAAATTCAGGCCCGGAAGCCGGTTTGAATGAATGACAGGAAATGTTGTTGGTATATTTTTCATAAGCAAACCAATAAAATATATTTTTTTTAAATAATTTTTAAAAATGCCATTTTGATGAAACCAGTTCCATTTAGATGCATTTTTTTTCCTTTTCTGGTGATCCTTCAAAAACAAACTTCTCTGAGATTCGATTACTTGACAGGTGGGCGATGCGAAACTGTGAAGCGTTACCGTTTTTGGCACGACATGTGGACGAAGCATGACTGCAAAGTTTGACGTAGAATAAACCACAAAACGTATCATAATAACAACATTAAAAAAGTGGCCGCTAACTTTGTGGACTTGGAATGAGCACTTCAAACTAGGTTCGAACTATTTAGAAAAATTTTCGAAAAAAAATGATCAAAATCAAGGCAAATGAACCATAAATTAGGATAAAAGACTAAAATTTTACTTTTTTCATACTTTTGAACACAATTAACTAATTTACTGCCAGCCATACCACATGAAAGAAATAAAATAAAAATAGAAATACGTACCTGGGATTGAATGTCTCAATTCCTAAAAGACCATAAATGTTATAGCCAGTGAATAAGTTAATAAGGTGCATTAATCCCCCCCATATTCAAGTTCATTGTTTATATTCAAACTGTGGCAGAATGTTACTTGCAATAAAATTAAATGTATCTTTTTTTAGGAAAAAAAAAACACTTAGGCCTACTCCTCGGTTATATCTTAAAGTTGGCCCGAGCAGTGAGCCCAATTTTTATCTGGCGCTTAGTGTCAAAAGACTCAGAACCACCACATGCCAAATGTTGTGGTCGTCTGGTGTGCGGCGTCGTAGCAGCCACAAGGGGAAGCCGTAACCCAGCGAATTCCACACACAGCGATGTGAAACACTTTTCTTTCCCCGGTCATGCCAAATGCATTCATTCCCACCCGCATTCGCTCTGACAGCGCCGACATGAAAAATAATGTAAGATATAGACATATAAAATCTATCATGATGCGAACACATTTCTTTTTTGTCTTTCCAGTTCTTCCAATTTTGAACCGCAAAGGGTAAATGCAGTCGCAAGAATGCAGCATCAAGGATACACATTATGTTTTCTTCTTGTTTTGAAGAATAGGAGGGAGTGGATTACTTCCAGACGCGCAGGGGCAGGTTTTATCCAATTGTTGCTGCGAATCTGTTTAGCTACGCTCGTGTTGTCGGGAGTAGGGTTCAAGAATTCACGATATACCTGAACGACTCATCTGCATCAATGCTCACTTCAAACAGGAAAAAAAAAATAATGGACACTGAATTCTGCATCTGTTTTGGATTAATTCCAGTTCATTCTCTTGCTTCGGTCTATCACAGCATTTTTCTCGGCGGCTGTGGGTGGTTAAACATGTCAGAGAGGCAGCGGTTCACATAGCCAAGCATCACAATCGCGTAACCCAACATAGCGGCCAGGAATCCCGAGAACCGATTTGTTGTCGACGTCTTTCTCACGGGAAACAAAAAGAAAGTGACACTTGTGGAGAAGAAGCCGTTGGAATGTGTCAAGCATTGCCCTTAAAACGGCCCCTCCCCTTCCCCAGATTAAAAACAGGCAAGCCAAATATAACTTTCACTCACGCTCACCTCTTCCTGAACCCCAGGAATTAGCCACATCCTAGTGATCTCCCCGCATTGTCCCTGTGGGGATAATGATGATGGAGAACGTTATGGATGCAATTAATGCAGAACAAGAAAAACAAAACAAAAAAAAAACCTGCCATCAGACTGTTCAACATAAGGGCAGCTAAGGAGCTGAAAGATGGACAAAGACCACGCAGGAACCAAAACAACCAAGAAGGGCCGCCACAATTATTTGGCTCGTCACGACGACATC